GGGGGGCCTGGATGCTGGGTGCCGGCCTCAGGGACGGGAGACACCAGGAGAGGCCTGGCCAGAGAGCCGCCGGGACCCAGGTCAGGTCAGGATCCAGTGTGTAGTGGAGCTTGGGCTCATGAGGTCAGAGCTGGAACCACTGCACTCCATCTCCCAGGGCCAGGGCTCCCGGAGGACATGCAGTGTCTGCTGTTCCCTGGGGTGCCACAGTCCTCCACGTGGCACTCTGTGTGTTGGAGGGCCCACTGCTAGCTGCTCATCCTGGCTTCTTGGGAGCAGCACGGCCTGAGCAAGGGAGCCTGCCCAGGACCGGCGCCTGTGAGGCAGGGCTGGTCGCAGGGTGTCCGTCCCCGAGGGCTGATTCCTGCTGAATGCTTCAACCGCCAAGGGTGGATCCCTCTCCTCCCAGCCTGAGGCGCTTTCAGGAAGAAAAGGTCAGGTCCCGGCAGGTTTCCCTGCCCAAGGGGAGGGTCTGAGGAGGGGCAGACTCAGCGGGGGGAGCAGGGGACCACTTTCAGTGAGTTTGTGTTCAGAACTCACTCCAGGGCCCTTTTCTTTTGGGGCCAGGCAGGCAGCACCGAGTGGGACATTATTAGCCAGGAGAGGAGGGGCCCGGGAGAGCTCACAGGGCGTTTAGGGAGCTCTGTAGGCAGGCAGGTCCTGAGGACTTTTGGAAAGGGTAGAACAAGGTCCCGGGCAGCTTTGTGGTGGTTGCAAGTGAGGGAGGAGGTGGCCTCCCTGAGCGTGGATGGCTGGATGCACGCCCCAGACCCAGGAGCAGAGGCCGAGAAGGGAAGGGCGGGGGCCCAGGAACCACGTTGGCAGGGTGGAGGGGGCAGGGGAAGCCACTTGCTGGGGAAACTTCACCGGAAGATCTGGGCTGAGGACACGCGAGTGTGGAAGAAACGGCGCCTCCCGCGTGCCAGATGCTGCCCACTGCCTGCACAGGGTTCCCCAGGGGGAGCTTGGAGGTCACAGAGGAAATGCGAGACCAGATGCAGGCAGGGGGGCCCTCCAGAGCCTGCAGGAGGGGGCCGCTGGCTTGGGGGCACCGGGAGACCCCCACGTGGACAGGGTGGAAAGGGCTTTCTTCAAAGCCAGGATCTCGTCCCCGTATCAGCGTCCCAGCTACGCGTTGGGAACACTTGCTGCCGGGAGGCTCCCCAGTCCCACAGCAGCCCCTCAGCAGCTGCCCTCCAAGGAAGGGGCCTCACAGACACTCTGAAGGCTCCACAGCACGTGGGCCAGGGGCGGGATCTACCCCTGGGGCAGCAGGACTGAGCGTGAGCCCAGCCTGGGACACAGCCCCTCTGACTGTGTCCTTGCTGGGGGCCTTCTTGCAGTGGGCAGACCTAGAACCAGGTCTGGGGGGTGGGGACGTGCCTGGATGTGCACTGGGGGGGGGTCTGACCCCTTAGTTAGGACTGGGGGCCCTCCTTTCCACTTCCTTCAGTCTCTGGGGTCTGGGGCATCCTAGCCACATGTGGGGCCTCCTCACTGGGACTGGAGACCTCCTGACAGGTGGGGCTGGGGGCTGGTCCCAGCATCTTTGCTTTTCCCCCAGGAGGACTCGGACACAGGGTCTCCCCTCCTTCCCATCACACAGAGGGTAGCATCCCCGAATGGGAACTCTGAGTATCACCAAACCAAAAGATGGGGAAACCGACAGAGAAGGGGCTGCAAGCAGCTATGGCAGGGCGGTGTGTGGAAGCAGATGGGATGTGCAGACAGAGGTGGGAGCCAGCATCACTGCCTTCTTGCCCCTCCCAGAGGACCCCAGGCCCCCAGCTCAGGCACCCCACCCAGGCTGTTCACACCTGCGTCTGCTGTGTGGCACCGGGAGATGAATCACTTGCTTTTCAAATTAGAATCTTCCTTGATGTCAGAAACGTTTCTTCTTTACAAGGAAATGGAGGTAAAGTTTTTATATGGGAAGGGTAGCTCCCTTGGCGAACTGCAGGGCAGCGGAGGGCGGGTTCGGGGAGCCGAGTGCAGCCCGAGGTGCAGCTTTCAGGCTGGGAGGAAGCAGCTGCTTCCGGCTCCTCAGGACACGAGACGGGGACAGTGTGTGCTTGGCGGGTGGGAGTGACGCTGCCCACCTGCGGGCGTCTCCTGGGGAACGGGGCATGTGGGCTGTGTGGCAGTATGGAGCCCAGAGCTGATAGGAGGCTGTGCCGTCAGGCTGCATTTGACCATTTATGGAGCCAGGCCGCGAGGAGGCCCTGAATTAGAAAGGCATCCAGACCCAGGCTGCAGCCTCAGGCCGGCACCGTCCCCTGCATGGCCCCGGCGCCCCAGCTTGGTGTTATCAGCACACAGAGGTTGAGGCTGTGGCTCCGTCTGGGCTGTTAGCACAGAGAAAAAATACCCAAATACTTGGTAAAGGGGGGGCTTCCTGGCCCCATGGCTGCAGGGTGGGCTGGCTTCCTGTGTTTGCTAAGATTTCTTTGAGGCAGTCCCACGGCAGAGTCCACTCTGGGTCCCGGCCCTGCGCTGGGCGCTGTGCTGAGCGCCTCTGTGGCTTCCGTAATCGAATTTTCACTGCACTTGGAGGCAGGCGCCAGGCTTCACTTTAAAGATGGGGAAGCTGAGTCTCAGGGAAGTGGGGCCCGTGCCAGGGTCTTAGCAGACTTCCGGGGTTGCTAGGACCCCCACAGGGCTGGGCAGGGGGTCTTCACGCCAGGCCCCCCTTTCCCATAGTCCCCCCAGCACCACCCAACATGTGGTCTCCGGTCATCTCGCGCTGTCTCCACCCCTCCCTCTGCTTCTCTGCTGGGGTTGTCCCTGTCGCCTTGCCCTAGACCCTTCTTTGTTCTTACAGTCCCAGACGGAGGGCCCTGTGTACCTTGGAGCACACTCTGTGGCCTCTGGCTCTCCCTCCTAAGGCCACCTCCCCCGCCAACTGGGCTGTGTGGTCACTGTCCTTAAGACCTTGTGTGCCATGAGGGCTCAGAGCCCCGAGCCTCAGCACAGGAAGTGCCACCCAGGCAGCCAACACCTGCTCAGCGGGCAGACGGCCTTGCCGACTCGGCTTTGCTCCCGGGAGCCTCTTGGAGAGGAAGCCGCAGGGAGACGATAGCCCCGGGCAGCCCCAGCTTGCCAGCTCCACATCCAAGGTCCTCCTCCTGGTGTGGGGTTATAGTCTGTTCAAAGCACGTGCCCAGAATAACATTTTTGAAAGTCTTTAAAAATGGGGTAGAGCCGACATTGAAAGACCATGAAAGACACAAATCCTGTCTCATGCTCAGGTCTTCTTTGCACGTCTACACCCGTGTCACCACCATGCATGTCATTGAGTCCCCCCAAGAGCATGCCCAGCACCACAGGGATCCCCTGGTCCCCCCCAGGGACTCCCCAGAGTCATAACCCCGCGGCGACCTCTCCTCTGATCTCTGACTTCCCAGCCTGTGGGGATCTTGGGGACTGTGTTCTGCTGCTGGGGTGCACAGGCCCTTTCTCTTCTTGGCTGTGCCGGGAGGGGGAGACACCACGGGGTATCCCTTCCACCGAGGGTGCCGGTGACTCCAGGTTGTCTGTGGTTTTCATGTGGCTCCGGTGGGACCTGCGCGCAGCGGCAGAGGCCGCCCCTGGGGGCTATGTGAAGCTTTGCTGCTATTCCCCATTGGGTGGGGGGTGCCAGTTACCCTCCCCCACAGCTGTGGGAACTCCCAGGACCTTTGTCATCAACCTTTGCCATCTCAGCCCACCAGACAGGGGCAGAATAACGTTTGCAGGAAAGTTACAGACTTCCCGTCCCCTCAACTCTGCAGAAGAGGAGTTTGGTGGGGAGTTTTTCTAGAGTTTTCCCTCAGTCTGGGGCACAGTGTCACTGAAATGCCAGAACAATCAGGGGCCAGCCCTCAAGTGGAGGCCTCACCTCCTCACCGAAAGGCCAGGCCCGTTCAGGGAAGACCCCATTCAGAGAAGACATGAGGGGTATGCGGGCTAGGCGAGGTGGGGCTGAGCGGCCGGGTGTCCAGCAGGGCCTTTGGGAACAGAGGGTGGGTCCCAAGGGAAGGTGGCAGTCACCATCAGCCTGGCGAGCAGTGGAAAGGGGACTTCAGACATGCTCGGGAGATGCAGAACTCCGTCCGTGGGAGAGCTCCCGAGAATTAGGGGCCAGGCTCAGCTCCCAAGGCTGCCCTGACAGAGGCCACGGGCTGGGGGGCAGAGAAAGATGCTGAACCTCTCACGGTTCTAGAGGCTGGAATCAGGGATCAGATCAGGGCATCCTCAGGCCCCTGCCCACTCTGGAGGCCCGAGGGGAGGGTCCTCCCTGCCTCTTCCACCTCCTGGTGGCCCCAGGCATCCCTCTGCCTGCGGCTATGTGGCTCCAGTCTCTGCCTCCACTGAAACGTGGCTGTCCTCCCTGCGTCTGCGGGGCTGACTTCCGTCTTCTTACAAGGATGCTGTCATTGGACGAGGGCCCACCATACTCCAGTGTGAGCTCACCCTCACTTGATTACATCAGCAAAGACCCTATTTCCAAATAAGGTCACATTCTGACGTTCTGAGTTGACATGAATTTTTAGGGGGGCCTGTTCAGCCCAGGACAGTATGTGGTTTAAGAAAGGGACTTCCCCAGAATGATCTGCCTGCCATCTGCATCCAGCTGCAGACCCTGGTTCCTGCCGTCTGGTCAGGGTTGGCCCTGGGTGAGCTGGAACCCTGTGTCCCTGCACCCCCAGCACTCCCACCCAAAAGGAACTTCGGGGACAGACCATGGCTTAGGGTACCCATGGGGTCTTCAGAGGCTGAGCTGGTGCCCAGCTTGTTTCCTCCCTCATAGACGCAGCCAGGCAGTGAGCGGCCGACGGGTGCCTCAGTGTCCCACGCAGCGCAGCCTCGCAGAGTGGTTGGAGGCCAGCCCCCCAGGAGAACCACCTGTCCCTGCCCGCAGCAGGACAAACCTCAGCACCGAGTATGTCCACAGATGCCAACGCCTCTCAGACGAAGTGAGTTGACTGTTAAATGTAACAATAAAAACGGTCTTGTATTTGGTATATCTTTCCTTTTTCGTTTTCATTTTCTAGCTGTTCTTTTTTACTGTAGTTTGTAAAAGTTAGCAGTCTGCAGGGTGCTTCCTCCTGGCTGGCTGGAGAAGCCCCATGTACCCAGCCTTGTCCGAGGTCCTCTGAGCCCCCACGCCGCCTCGCTATGGTGCTGTGCCCTGACCCCAGTGTGGGAGGGGCCATCAGAGCACATGTGCCTTCTATGTGGTGAGGGGGGCATTATCTTGGGGATGCAACTGCAATAATCAAGAAACTTACAAATATTTAGGATAAATTAACTGAGAACGCGTGCACTCACCGGCATGGCCACCTGCTGTCACCCGGGGCGTGCCTCCAGCCCTGGCTCTGCCCCCCCAGTTGGTGGAATCATGGAAGCAGGGGAGGGGGTGGTCCCCGGCTCGGGTTCGTGCTATGGAGACGCCCGCACATGCCAGGACACTTGCATGGAATGCTCCCGACGCTCTCTTGTCTCCAGGGCTGTGTGTAAGGGTCAGTGACAGAACTGTACACAGCGTGCAAGAGACAACTGCCCTCACTGCCACCTTGAAGGGCAGCCTGGACACATACTATCGAGAGACAAGGAACTCGCTGATGGCAGAAGGCGCCATGCCACATGCTTTGGTCTGTATACAGCCCAAATCCGGCGATGCGGCATGCAACATGGTCCGGGGGTTCACTGCACGTGGCAAAGATGTCCTAGAGGGTAAGGTGACAGACGCCTGTGCAGGAGGGAGGTTGCCTCTGGGGACCCTGGGGGAAGCAGGAGGGATATGTTCCAGCTTACCTGGGTGCCCGTCTGGCCTCTCTCTGCCCAGAGTCCACCCCCACGGCAGCAGACATGGGACGGGGTCCTAGGCCAAGGAGCACTCCACCCAGTGGGGCGTGGGGACTTCCCTCCTCTCAGGAGCTCAGAGTGAGCGGGGCCCCAGGGACCAGCATGCAGCTTTCATCCCCAGCCACGGTCTGCTTCTGGCCCTGCCGGGACTTGGGGCTGCCTGCACATTAAATGGCCTGGGTTTGTGTCCTGGTAAGTCAAGACTGAGAGAGCTGCCACCCTTGTGGGTCACGGCCGCAGGAAATCAGGCTGTCCCCAGGTCCAAGTGGGTCTGCCAAAATGCCCCGAGAGGCACGGCCTCGAGGTCAGCACCAGATGGGGTGGCTATTCCTGCCCCTGTGCCCAGATCAATCAGCCGCCCCCACTGGAAGGGGACACTCTCCCCGCGGGGGTCCGGAGCCCACTTCGGGCTCCTCCCCACCCAACAGTGGCTCCCTGGAGACTGGATGCCCCACCCATGCCCTCTGCTCCACTGCCGGGACCGTCTTTGCTCTCAAGGACTGTGGAAGCCGGTAGAGAGGGGCACCCCGTCAACGCCAGCCGGCCTCTGTCCACCCCTCGAGAGCCAGAGCTTTGGGCTCACTGTCTCCCCCAGAGGAAACCTCGCTGGGGCCACAGGAGGCTCGGGTTTCTGTTCCTCAGGGTTCCTCAGTGTTTGCTCCACAGGGCCTGCAGGGTCAGGCAGGGAGGCAGAGGCGACCACAGGTGGAGGCAGGTTAAAGGACAAGGATTCTGAACATGCCGGGGCTGGGTCCAGGCACCATCAGAACCAAGTCACCGGCTCCCTCCGGGAGGACAGAGCTGTTAGGGTTTCGGGGCTGAGTCACAGGTGGGCTGGGGTGGAGGGGAGGTGAGGGCGACACCCCACCCTCACCAGGTGAGGACCCTTCGGGCCAGGCAGGCTTCCAGTCAGGGAGGGCACAGAGCGGAGGGAATGCGGAGGGGCTGGTGGGTCATGTGGGGGGGAGGGTGGAGGTACTGGCTGCGCCACTGCAGCAGGCATCGCCCCGGAATGTGCTGGAATAACAAGCAGAGGCGGCATGGAGCAGGATGGAGGGCGGAAGTGCGGAGATAGGAGTGTGTGATCCTGGGTGGAGCCGCTGAGGCCTGGCCGGCGTCTGGAACCTCCCTGAGGCTGGATCTGGGGGCACCGGGGGAGCCCACCACAGGGAGCCCCAGGTCACAATAAGGGGCAGCTCAGACCGGGGTGGGGGCCCCCAGGTCGCCCAGGAGTGGAAGTGGCTTGTGATGCTGTGGCTGCTGCGCCGTGAGGGGCTCCTGGTCCTGCTGGCCTCCAGGCTCCGCGTGGCCCACTCGCCTCTGCAGCTGCCAAGCCTCCCTCGGGGCTCCTGCTGCAGGGCTGGGCTGGGAGGCCTGGGAATCCCAGCGGGCAAGGAAGCCGGGCCCGAGGGGGAGCAGCATGCTGGGTCAGGAGACCGGTCAGGGGCCCGGCCGGGCCTGGAGGCCAGCGGGCAGGGGCTGGCAGCGAGTGGGCAGGGTGCCCGCCACTGCGAGGGCCACCGTGGAAGACTGTCTGGGTTGGGTTTGCAGCGGAGGCTCGCCAGCAGTGTTTTGACTCCAAGCAGGTTTCAGAGTGTGAACGGCCCCCGAATCATCTGCTGGGTCCCTCTGCCAGAGGGTTGCTGAGAGACAGATGGCCACACGCGGAAGCCGTCGGCGGTGTGTGGGCCCAGCGATGACGGGGGTGCGAATCCCGCTCTGCCTCCCTCGGCGGCGGCAGGCGGTCTCTAAGTCCTCTCCCGTGTTCTCACTGTACCCTAGAAAGCAAAGCCCGAGTTCCTCAGCACGCTGCGGGGGCGAGTGGGCAGAGCCAGGCCTCCCTGCAGGCACACACAGCTGTCCCTGTGCCTCCATGAGCGGGGAGGGACGCTGGCGGGAGCCCCCACCCAGGCGGCCTCCCCACCCGGGGACCCCCACACGCGGCTTCCCCACCCGAGACCCCGCACAGGCGGCCTCCCCACCTGAGACCCCCACACGTGGCCTCCCCACCCGAGCCCCCCCACAGGCGGCCTCCCCACCCGGCCCCACACCCAGGCGGCCTCCCCACCACCGCACAGGCGGCCTCCCCACCTGAGACCCCCACACGTGGCCTCCCACCCGTGCCCCCCACAGGCGTGCCTCCCCCACCCGGCCTCCCACACCCAGGCGGCCTCCCCACCTGGGACTCCCCATGCGGCCTCCCCCACCTGAGACCCCACACAGGCGGCCTCCCCACCCGGCCCCACACCCAGGCGGCCTCCCCACCCGGCCCCACACCCAGGCGGCCTCCCCACCTGGGACCCCCCTATGCGGCCTCCCCACCCGAGACCCCCCACAGGCGGCCTCCCCACCTGGGACCCCCCACGCGGCCTCCCGACCCGGCCCCGCACCCAGGCGGCCTCCCCACCCTGGCCTCCTGACCTCATGGAGCTGGGCTTGGCCACAGGGGGACCTTGCAAAGGGCACTTTGCATGGAGCCCGAACCTGGCCTGACTTTGCCTCCATGGCTTTTGGGTTGAACAGCAGGGAACGGCACAGGGGGAGGGGCCGGCTGAATTCCTCCGCGGGATCCGAGGGCTGTGCAGACACGGGCCGTGACTGCTGGGTCCTCCGTGGAGAAAATCAGTACCAAGTCGAGGCAAGTCCCCAGGGCTCACGTGTCACTCTGCACCCGGAAGGAACTTTCTGGAAATGGAATACATCCCTGCAGAGTGGGACTCAGGGGGTCTTTCCTGTCGCTGTGCAGAAGGCGAGGTCTCAAGGGGAGAAGATCTGGAGGCTGGGAGCCCGCCTGGGCCTGGGTCCCCTCTCAGGGCTGAGGAGCCCCAAACCCAGCGCCCACAGTCGCTGTAGCCAACCTCACAGGCCCCACCTCCTGCCTGGCCATGCTTTTGCCCGGGGAGTTGCAGCCAGGGCCTGGTTGTCACCCGCCCCAATGTAGCCCTGAGGCCAGTCCTGTGCTAGCCTGTATTGACACGCTGGCTCACTCAAATCGATTCTTGTCAAAGGCACTGTGGAAAGAACAGCTTTCAAAATAGAGCCGAAGAAGACGCTTCCGCTGTGGGAGCCCGGGTGCTGGCGGGCTGCCCAGGGCGCCTCCTCTCTCTGCGGCCGGGCATGGAGCTCCACCAGCAGCTCCTGGCTGTTGCAGAGCTGTGAGATGTTTCGTTTGTTCAGCAGGAAGGTCTAGAGAAAGGGGCTGAAGGGGACACCTGAGCGTCCAGCCTCAGAGAGGCGGCCAGGACCGAGGCCTGGATTCATTCCTAATGGGTCCTGAGGACAAGCACACGGAACCGGCTGTGTTCTGGCTGCAGACGGGCCTGGGAGTGCCCTGGCTGGCACAGGAACAGGCAGGCTGCAGAGCAGAGCGCAGTGGACCTTCTGCCTGGGTGGAAGGGGCTGGTGTGCGACTCCACACCCCGGAGTCCCCATCCCAGCCCCTCAGCCCCCATCCCAGCCCCTCAGCCAGCCCCTCTGCGGTGGCAGTTTCTCTTCTTGCCAAGACCTTGGACGGAGCCTGCACCCATCCCTGCACGCTGCGGAGACAAAACCTACAACCAGATACTCAGGAAGGGCCGGGGTCCTGCCACCTGCACGTTAGACCCTGAGGGTGACGTTTGCTCTTTGATCCTCTGGTCCTGTGCACTCTGGGGGCCTCAGCCTGGGGTGGAAATGTTGGTTCTTCCCTGTCTAAGACAGTGTGATTTTCAGACCAGCAGAGAAGAAAATGTCCGGTGGCTGTCCTGTGGGGGTCCACCCACCCTCGATACTGTTAGGGGCCACGTGTCTCCCCCAGATCTGTATGCTGCAGCCCTAAGCCCCAGCGCCTCCACAAGGGACCTTACTTGGAGGTGGGGGTCCTCGCAGAGGTGGTTAAGGTAACATGAGGCTAATGGGGTGGCCCTGGCCCAATCTGCCTGGTGTCCTTATACAGAGAGATGAGGACACAGACCCACACAGATGGATGACCTTGTGAGGACAGCAGCAGGAGACAGAGCCAAGGACAGAGGCCTCAGGAGCCAGTGGTGCCACACCCTGACCCGGGATTCCGCCTCCTGAATGGTGAGAGAGCCGTGTCTGCTGAAGCCCCCAGGCTGGGGGACTTGCTACAGCGACCCGGGAAGTCACATGATAGTCACAGCATGTTGCAGCTGACAAAGTGAGCTCCCTCCTTGGACACGCTCCTCCCAGCATTCCGGTGAGGTGGGGGCTGGCATGTCACCCCCCCTTCTGGATGAAGAGGCCACATCAGGCGGGGTGGGCACAACCAGCCCCCCAGCTCACTGTGGGCTATGGCACAAGTTCATTGCCTGCACTTTGGGGTGGGCACTCACTTGCCCCTGTTCCAGCCACTGTGCCTGCCGTGGCTCCCTCCTCACCAGGGCCTGTGACTATGAGGCATCAGAGGAGGAGGTGCTGGGTGGAGACACCGCAGAGACTGACGGTGAGACTGGAGGAGGGGAAGCCCCCATTTCTTCTTGAGAGCCCCGCGGGGTCAGGCCAAGGAGCCCAGGTGGCTGTGCGGGAAGGAGCCGCACTCTGCTAGGTGTGGGGGCTTCCCACCTGCACTCCCAGGTGAGCAGTGGCCCTGCCACACAAGCCCCTCAACCCTGTGCCTGCCACACAGCCCTCTCGAGGAGCCTCTGGATATGTCTGGGGAGCCCTGCTCAGCCTGGCCCCAGTGGAGTCTCCACAGCAAATCAGCACACAGCAGCAGCAACCACTGTGTGCCTGTGGCCCTGGAGGCTGCGAGCACACAACGTCCTGGCTGGAAAGAGGGGAGGCCTGGGGTCCGGGCAGCTTGCAGGGCCAGCTGTGCACCCAGTGACATCCTTATCACCGCCCACGCCGAGCACATTAGAGACCCCCAGCCGAGGGCAGAAGGAGCACACGGTCACAGGAAACCTTTCCTTCCAGCTCTCTGTGCCTGCACCCAGCACTTCATGTCTAGGGTTGAATTTAATCTGCACGGTGACCTCTGAGGTGGGCACCGCCACTGTCCCAGCTCTGTAGACACGGAATGTGGTGGGCAGCATGGTGAGGAAGCAGCAAGACTTTGAGTGGAGGGGGTCTGGCTGTGGCTTCCCCTGTTTGTTGAATGGTGTCTCCACAGAAAGATCTGTGTCCCAGAACCTGTAAAGATGACCTTATTTGATAAAAGGGTCTTTGCAGATATAATCAGGTCAAGACCCGGCGGCGTGATCATCCTGGGCTGTCAGGCTGGACCACAGCGTCTGATGTGAAGGACAAGCGCCTTTATCAAGACAAGAGAAAACTCAGGGAGAGCCACATGGAGGGGGGCCGAGGCCATGGGAGGGCCAGGCAGGGACTGGAGGGAGGCAGCTGCAAGCCAAGGAATGCCTGGGACACCAGAAGCTGCCAGAGACAAGAAAGACCCCCCTCCAGAGCCTCCAGAGGGAGCACAGCCCTGCCCACGGTTTAATTTGGGGCTTCTGGTCCCCAGAGCTGTAAGGGAATCAGTATCTGTCGTTGAGGCCACCTGGCTTGTTGCGGGAGCCCCAGGACACGTGCCCACTTGGCCACACTGCCCCGGCGGATTGTGGTCGAGTGCCCAGGGTTCCGGCCCCAGCGCCTGCACTCCCAACCACACAGGAGGTTGACGCCCGCCGGGAAGTCTGCGCACGGCACCCTCGCTCTTTCCGGATTCCAGTGCTTCCTGCGGTGCTCTGTGCACAGGAGAGCTGCCGGCTCCCATCCCCAGACTCTCGGGGCTGAAAGGTGACATCCAGCAGGAAGCAGGGGCTCTGCTCTCTGCGACAGCATGGTTGAGAGTTGGTGCCGGCCAGACCAGGTGTGTTGGCTCATGCCTGCAATCCCAGCGCTTTGAGAGGCTAAGGTGGGATGATGGCTTGAACCCAGGAGTTCAAGGCTACAATAAGCTATGCTTGCGCCACTGCACTCCAGCCTGGGCGAATGTGAGACCGTCTCTATAAAATACAATAGAGGGACAGCGAGTCAGTGCCACACGACTGGCCCTTGGTGTATTTCCCCTGCCCATCAGTGTTACCCCAAGGAACTGAGTGAGCAAATGTGTGCCTGTCTGCTCACCTGCTTAAGACACAAAGCATCTTGAAAGCAGAGCGGCGCCAAGCATCTTCCCTCCCGCAGGTGCCTGGAGTGTTGGGCTCCTGCCACCCCAAACCGACGCGACTCGGTGAACATAGGTGAGCACTGGCTGACCGGATCATGTTTAAAGGAATCCTTTAGGGGAACCACTCTGCAAAGAAAAGAACCCTCAGTAACTCGCTTTTAGTTAAATGGGGACTTCACCTTATCAGGCTTCCGAAGGTGGATTTGCAGGAAGCCGGGGTGGTGGCGTGTGGGGAGGCGTGGGTGCCGGTGGGATCCTCCGCAGGTGCTGCTGGGCTGGGCAGTGGGTCTGGTGGGAAGTCCTGTGGCTCCAGGCCCTGACCCGGCTCCTGCTGGGCTGACTGTGGCAGGGAAGAGCCATTTTTCACAGTACGTGGGTGGCTTCACACTGGCCCAAGGCCAGTATGTTCCATGGTTCTTTTCGTGGATGGAATCAGCCGTCAGCTCAGCCCAGGTGACTTCCGACCTAATCTAAACAGGGTGGGGTCGGTGGACTCAGTTCTCAAACAGAAAGACATGATGACGTCAGGCATGGCCGGGTGAGGCAGGGGTGGGGAGAGGCTGACAGCCTCTGCCTCGGCCTCTCCCTCCGCCAGCACCACCCGCCCCAAGCTCACGTGGCCCTTGCGGGCGTCATGTCTTCACTTGGTTGTGCCAAGCAGCAGGGGCGCGGCTGTCCCAGTCCTCAGGCCCTGCCCTCCTCGGGCAGCCTGGGCGTCTGCTCCTGTGCACAGAGCACCCTCCGCCAGGCACCCCCCATCCACACCCCCCATCCACACCCAAAGGCAGGCCCAGGTGCGTGGCTTGGGTGATGGAGTCTATTTGGGGCGATCCCTGAAAGCCCAGTGGGAAATTGGGGTGGAGGGAGCGGGCACGGCCAAGCGGACCTGTGAACGAGCGGCCTGCCTCCCAGGGGAGCCCCGGGTCCTCTCCCCGCTGGCTGGTCCTGTCGTGGACATGAGCTATCAGGTTTCTGACGGGCTGAGCATAGCGGCCGAGGGCACCCTCAGGCAGGGGCAGGTGGGCTTGGGCCAAAGAGAAACCTCTTCCCCCATGGCAGGGGGCCAGGCTGTGCTCAGCCTCACGACACACGGACGTTTGCTCAAGCTCACAGCTGGCGTGTAGGAGGGCGCTTCGAGCACCTCCAGAGCTGGGATGGGGTCAGAGGCTGCCCCTGCCCAGTGAGCCGTGTGGGCTTTTGGCCAGGTGGTGCCAGGATATGCCTGGATTTCAGAGTAGGTGGTCAGGGCGGCCACCTGCTGGGTGTCTGGACAGGGACCATGGAGCCGGGGCGACCGGGCTTCAGCTTCAGTAGCCGCACAACATCCAAAAGCAGGGGGCCCTTGAGGACCCAGCCCTGCTCTCCAGGCAGTGGGCACTTGGCCCCAGAGCCCCCGCTTGCTCGGTGCGAGGCCGAGCATCTCCCGAGCCTGGTGCCCGCCCCGCCACCTTGGCCTCTGCCCACTCCGTGCCAGCTCTCACTCTGCCCACTCCATGCCAGCTCTCACTCTGCCACAGGCCCGGCCCCTCTCCCTTCCAGCCTGGGCCCCACTGTTGCCTCCCATCATCTCCCTTCTGGGTGACAGCCTTGGGGAGGGTCTCTGGCCTGGGCTCTGATCCCAGGACACGGCCCTTCCTGCTCCTTGGTGGCCCTCCTGGGCCTGCAAGTCCGAGACCATACCCATGGCCTGCTGCCCGCTGCTAGTGGGCCTCAGATTTTTCAGAAAGAGGGAAGAGGCTCGGACCAGCCCAGAGCAGCTTTCCAAGTGAGGCCATGGTCACAAGCAGTCCAGGGTCCACTGCCCGGTGAGGGTGGGACTGCAGGCTGGGCAGGGACAGCAGGCGGGGGTCCCTCCCCCAACACAGCCCCCCCCCCGCCGTGCGGGGCTCTGGGGTCCTGCCTTACGGGGGTCCTGTGTCACCTCAGTGGGGAGCAGGAGATGGGCCCGGGGCTCGGGGCTGCCATCTCCACCCTTGGTCTAGGGCTGAGCTGTTGTGGAGCAACTCAGGGACCACATGTTTGCAATTTGGGGACAACTCTGCCTTCCTGTAATTTTATTGTATTTAGTAAATGCGGTTTAATTTTCTTCCTGTATAGACTTCTCAGATAACTACAAATCAAAAAAGAGCTTGCAGGCCCGTCAGGGCAACCCTGGCCTCCAAAGACCCAACACCAGGCCCGTGGCACACACTCATGCCCACTCTCACTCCCACACACTGTCACACCTGCACTCACGCCACGCACACAGCCACACACACAGTGGGCACGCTCACACCCCAGTCACGCACAAACACACATCCACGCACCTCCCTCTGCAGCTTCCTCCCGCAAGTCCCCGTACCCCCATGCACCCCCGTAGAGTCCCCCTCAGGGCTGCTCCCCCTGCCCACCCCCACCTTGTCATTTCCCACTTCCGTTCCCAGCACCAGCATTCGGCATTTGCTGTGGGCCGAGGGCTGGTGCGACAGAAGCCCTGCCAGCGCCACTAGCTGACGCCTGTGTAAACACGGCTGTTCGGCGCACACAGGAGCCGCCTCTGGCCTGCCAGATACCTCCTGCCCGGAGGACCACAGACCTGAGGCCGGCTAGGACGAGAGGACCGCAGCTCACCTGCCATCAACAGGCTCACAGGGGCCCCTCACTGCACCCAGGGGGCTGGGGCCGGGCCGACCCCCGAGAGAACTCACCGTGCATCCCCTGCCAGCCTCCTGCTCAGGGGCAGCCGGGACGTGGGCAGCCGCCTCCCAGACTCTAGCCAGGCTCCCGGATGTGGGGAAGGCCACCCGTCAGGCGAGTGTGTGTGAGACATGGGGACAATGGGGGCACCCCACGGAGACACCAGCTTGTCCTGCCACGTTCTCCGTGTGCTGGATCGGGGGTGGCTGGAGGCGCGGCTGCTTCCCCTGGCTCATCTGGCTCGCAGGTGGTCACGGCTGTGCGGGTCTGTTCCTCAGCTTCCGCGGGGGCGAGGCAGTGGCAGTGCAGTGGCCCTAGTGGCTTTATGCTCCTGGCACGGCTCCGGGGGGGCTGCCGTGGTGACGATGCCTGGTGGGGCAGCACTCTGTGCCTGAGTCTCCCAGGAGGCCCGCCTGGAGTCTGCAGCCCGTCCTGGGTCCTGTGACACCCTTTCCCTGTGTTAAATCCCTTCCTGCTCAGAGTCCTTGGGGCCACTCTGCCCTGCTCAGACCCATCTGTCATGAACCCTTGAGTGAGTGGTGCTGCTGGGGGCTGGTGCCTGGAGGTACTGGGTCACCTGGAGCTGGGAGGGTGGGCAGAGGAAGTGCCACATGAGGAAGCTGCAGGGGTCTCCATTCTGGCCACACAAAGTGCCCGAAGTGGATAATGCTTCCGGGGGAGTGGGGGTGACTGGAGGGTTGGAGGGATATCTGGGACAGCTCCCTGGGGGCAGTTATCTTGTGAGCGTCTGTGGGTGTGAAAATCCCTGTCATGTCACCTTCCGGGATGTCCATTCTACTTCAAAGCCAAGTGTAAGTACACAGTACCTGACTCACACCCTCTGGGCATCCACTCCTGTGCTCAGAGCACCCTCCGCCAGGCACCCCCCATCCACACCCAAAGGCAGGCCCAGGCGCATGGCTTAGGTGACAGAATCTATTGGGGGCGATCCCTGCAAGTCCAGTGGGAAATCAGGGTGGAGGGAGTGGGCAGGGCCGAGCGGCCGCATGAACCAGCAGTGTCCTGCCTCCAAGGGGAGCCCCAGTAGATGACCAACTGTGTGAGATCATCTACCTGTTCCTCCAGGTCACAACAAATCCATCCCTCCCCAGCCCGTTTCCAACTTGATTGAAACACCCCTAAACGCTCCACAAAGTACCTGCGCAGCCCTGGGCTCCAAGAGGCTTGGTCAGGGGTGAGCTTAAAGGAGAGCACGCATGTGCACACACAACCCACCCACACAGACACATGTGCACACACACAACCCACCCGCACAGACGCATGTGCGCACACACAACCTACCCACACACATGTGCACACACAACCCACCCGCACAGACGCATGTGCACACACACAACCCACCCACACAGACACATGTGCACACACACAGACCCACCCACAGAGACGCATGTGCACACACAACCCACCCACACAGACACATGTGCACACACAACCCACCCACAGACGCATGTGCACACACACAACCCACCCAGACGCATGTGCACACGCATGGATCCACACACAAACGTACACACAAGTTTGTATACACAAACACAAGCACTCACAAAATCACACACATGCACACACACTTGTGCACACAGTAACTCATACACACGAGTACATGCCTGCATTCACCTAACACAAACACGCATGCATACAGCAAACACACATGCACACACCTGTGCATACCCATGTGCACAAAGCAAATATCTGTACACAGCCGAATCCATAGATGTGCACGAGAAAACACATACACAGATACACTTGCATGTAGTGCACACAAACATACACAACGCACATACACAAGCACACATGTGGGCACACACGGAGAGATTTTGGTTCTTTGCTCGTAAATCGTTTGTTTACTAATTAAATCACCCATCAGCTCCTCCGACAAGGGTGGCATGGGAGCCTCCTGCATGCCAGGTGAGTTCTGAGTGCTGAAGCTCCCACAGGAAACGGTATGTCCCGGGAGCAACAGTCTTGAAGACTATGGATGGCTTCCTTGTCTTGCCCTGGCCAGAGGCGGGGCCCTGGGTTTGAACGACGCTTTCTCAGATGAAGTTCCAAAGTTTCCCCATAAAAGGAGCCACTCCGAGCTAGCATCGCCCACGACATCCTTCCAGGCCTGGCTCCCTTGGGCCACGTGGAGGGAGCAGGCAGGCAGGTCTGTGCAGCAGACGGGGCACCCTCCCCGTGTAGGGAAGGTGCTCTGCTCTTCCCACCCTGGGGCTCCGTTCCCCGAATCCGGCCACCACCATACTCCTTGGCACCCAGCTACGCCCCTGCCGCTGTCCTGTTCATCCTCTCACACTTTTGGGGGTTGGTGGCTTTAGCATGGCCTGTCCCCTCCAGGGACCCACCGACCTGCATGCCAGGGTTTATTTCAGCCTCATCTGGGAAGGGAGCAGCCCTCGGGAGGCCCCTCGGGTACACAGGAAATGAAGAAGAGAGAAAATGAGGCTGAGCTGCTCCTATTGGCCCAAGGGTCCTGAGTTGGAAGATGACAAAGAAACCCCTCCTTAGAGTCTGGACTCTGCTTCCCCAGTCCATGGCCATGTGGTTCAGCAGCTGGCGCGGGGGCACCCAGGAGGATGAGGACCCTCACCCTCTGGGGACTGAGGGCTGGGAAGCCCACTGAGCACTCAGGGTGTCCTGCCCCACCCTGGAGAAAGTGGCTGGAGCCTGCACCTGGGTTAGAGGGTGAGGCCGGGGAGCCAGGCAGGCACCAGGCCAGCTCCTGCTAGGCCACCCTGCGGGCCATACCTGTCTCTCACGTCACTCAGGCCTGGGAGCCTCTCCCTGTGCTTCCTCTGCCAGCACATGTGTGAGTGTGTACATCACACACAGATGACACGTGTGCACAGAGATGTATGCACACAGAGGGATGTGCACACACACACAACATCGTATGTTACAACGCCCTCTTACGCCTGGAGACATTTGGGAAGATGCTTGAC